ATTTCAATACAGAAAATCCCAGGATGATTTCTTAGGGAAATCTCTCCAGCCCTTAAAGTAGTAAATGATTCCTTGGTCTCAGATTACTTTGTCTAGCTGAGGAGCTTGTTGTGGTGTCACATGAATTTGCAATGGCAGGTATTCACCATTCAATTGCCTTTCACTGACTGAAAGAACCATACTGACCTCACAACCAGAGAACTGCAGCCCCTCCCTCTTCTTAGCACCCCACCCAGATCATAAACAAGCAGAGAAGCAGCGTCTAACAATTCACATTTACATGTATTCATACATATTTCAGATGTATTGCATCGTAACCCATGTAAATGCGTGTCCGCTACTAATGCCACATTTCTTTCCATTGGTTCCATGGATCTGTGCTGTGTCCAGCTCCATTTTAAGGGGTGGTAGTGGGATAAAGGAGGAAACAAAACACATAATGTCTTTGACTTTCTAGCAGCAGACACAGACCAGAGAAATAAAATAAAACATGGCTTATGAAATGATGGTCCCGTGTCATGGAGACACATTAAGCAGATAGACAGCTGCTGGGGAGAATTGCAGCTATTACAAGCTATGAAGGAGGGGAGGGAGGAAGCCTGGGCACCTCAGAGAAAACTTTAGGAGAAAGGACCGTGTTCCGGAAATGGTAAATGGACCAGTCAGCTAGAGTGCTGGGAGTACAGGGCAGAGCTGACAGCTGCTGTTGCCATGAATGGGACTGCAACAGACAAGGCCTTGCAAAGGACTACAAACATTTCAACTTTCATTCTGAATGAGATGGAAAGTTATCTGAGTGCTCACATGTCAAAAAAAACAAAACAAAAAAACTCCAGGGGCTGAGAAGATGGCTCAGCGGTAGAGTGCTTGCCTCGCATGCTTGAGGCCCACATAAGCAGGAAAAGCTGGAAGTGGCGCTGTGGCTCAAGTGGTAGAGCACTAGCCTTGAGCAGAAGAGCTGAGGGACAGCACCCAAGCCCAGAGTTCAAGGCCCACGACTAATAAAACAAAAACAAAAACTCCACCCAATTCAAAGGCAGTGGCAGAAGCGGGGATCCCAACCCAGGAGGCTGCGGCCACAACCTAGTCAAGAGATCATGGTAGCCAGGAATCCAAGAGGTTCTAAGACAAGGTGACAATTGTTTGGATTCTGATTATGATATGAAAATCTTTCCAGTGTCAAAACTTTACATGCAAACAACATCTAGTAGGATTTTCAAGGTCAATGAAGAACCTTGGTCAAGGAGAATCAAAGCTAAAGCAACTAGGTTCTTTTATCTAGAAGAGATGAGCAGAAAAAGTTCATGAGTCACTCAGTCTTGTGATTGGAGATTTTTAAGAATACAAGTTGAGTTACTCCTTATCTAAAACACTTGGAACTAGAAATGCTTGAGATTTTGGAGTTTAAAAAATATTTTGGAATATTTGCATATAAATTATGAGATACCTTAAGGAGAGGACTCATGTCTAAACAAGAAATCCACTTACAATTCATATGTAACTTATACATAGCCTGAAGGTAAAACAAATGCAATATTTTAGTACAACTGTCTTCTGACTGTAACAGATCACATGAAACCAGGTGAAGAACTTTCTTTTCTGAATTGTGGCCCATAAACTATTTTGAAGAACAAGCCAATTATTTCCAGAATGCAGATCTGCTTAAATGCCACAGGCATTTCTCAGGGGTAGGAGTATGAGTTGCAGTACCAGTGTTATATCCTCCTCTTCCTCTTCTTCCTTCCCTTTCTCCTCCTCCTCATTTTAGGACTATACTCCAGAAATGATCAAGAACATTACATGTGTTGTTTTCAGCTTGGCTTATTTTGTTCAACAGGATGACCTTCAATTCCACCCATTTTTCCTACAAGTGACATAATTTTGTTCTTCTTTATGGATAAGTGTGTTAGTGTGCGTGTGTGCAGTATTTTCCTTATCTTTTCATTAATTGTTGAGTCCTCTTTCTGATTGATTCAATAGTTTGGCTCATTTGAACAGAGCTGCAATAAACATGGGAATGCAGATATCTTGCTTGTATGTTAATCTAGTCTTCTCTGGATCTATACACGAGACTTGAATAATGACATAATAAAGTATGTCTAGTATTAGTCCTTAGATGAACCTCCACATAGTGTTTGCACTCGTTTACATTCCCACCCAGGGCACATAATAGCTCTTTTCCCACCTCATCTATAACAGCTTGTGCTGTGGTTTGTTTCCTTGGTGATTGCCAGTCTGATTGGTGTGAAATGGAATCTCAGTGTAGTTTTGAGTTGCATTTCCTTTTTGGCTAGACATGCTGGAGATTTTTCTGAAGGCGAATGAGAAGCATGTGGCCTTTTGCTAACAGCACCTGGCTGAAGAGAATGACCTCAGCTCCATGAGGACTGCCTACCATCTGGTATATTTCTGCTTCCTAGTGCCTAGTATCCACTGATTCTGTGTAAACATTTGTTTGAGTGAATAAACAATCAAAGGAGTGAATGATCGAATTTGTTTTACATCATTAGGTTCCATTTAGGAAGGAATACAAAAAGTATAGAAAAGCACAACAGCCAGACTTTACCTCTCAATTTGTGAATACTTGCTATAAAACATTTGGTCAAGTTCTCTTAGCTTCTCCATTTCAGCTTCTTCTTCTGTAATATCAAGATCAAAATCCCATGTTGCATGTAAATATAGTTTTGAATAATTGTTTACTTGGGTGAGTTGTTGGTCTTCAAGAAGCCATGGGTAAAAGGAAGAAGAGACTCACGGCTGTACAACGAGGATCTCTCAGAAGAGAGATCTCCTGAGAGGTGAAGAAAAGCAGGAAGAAGGCAGCAACTGAGCCTGACATCAGAATTTCATGCCTAAAGAAGACAGAGCAGAGCCTTGCCCCATTAATTGTTAAGTTTCATACTTCCCATTGAAACACAATATTGCAATCTACTGAGTATCATTTGAAACGATTCAGTTCCTCTACTTCCAAAGTATTGAGAAAAATATAATTTAACCTTATCCTGAGGCAGTGTGGACCATGTTGAGTTTTATACTCATTGTGATATTATAAATGAGAGGGCTCACTGAATGCTGATAAACCTGGTTTGGTTACTGAAATTTCGTATTATATCAAACCTTTGGCCAAATTCAGTTCTAAGAGTTTGTCACTCTTCCACTTTCCTTGTAATTTCCTCTTACTTGTTCTACAAAAGCAGTGATTTAGTAGAAACTCTGGTTTCATTCCCTGCTACTCTCTAGATGAAGCCATAAAGTATTTCCTTTTTCTTCTTAACTAGCAATTTGATTGTTTACACACACACACACACACACACACACACACACACACACACACACACACACACACACACACCTATTTAAAAAGCAAGATTAAGAAGGTTGGCACAGCATGGAGTAGTTAGGTGCCTGGTGTTTTCACATGTCTTTCCAAACAGCTGTGGTTTACAACGGTCATCAGTCAACAGCATGGATCACAATCTCCCTCAACTCTGGAATTTGCCACAATGGCAATGGTGATGGCCTGTCCATGATGTTTGAGACAAGTCCCAGAGGGCTCTGTTCTGAGACCCTGTGTTTAGAGATGGTTGCAGGGCTCAGGCATAGTCCCAGCTCCTCCCAAGGCCTGTCACCAGGTGCTTGTGTATCTAGTATTGCTGCCACAGACTCTGGGTTGTAGAGTTGGGAATGGAGGAGAGTATCCACCTCCCTGAATAACTTCTCCCCTGCGGAAGGTCATTCTTCCCTCTCTGTGCAGACATCTCCTGTGCGTCAGCATTGTGCATCTTTTCCTTGTACCTCTTCCACATTCCCCTTACCCCCAGCCTCCCAGAGTTCCAGTCTCAGCCAGTCTTTGTGGTGGAGGACAAGTGATGAAGTGGCATTCTAGCTGCCTTCTGAAGCTTTGTGTCTCTCATTTAAGGAAGGAAAGAGACAAAGGGGAGGTGAAGCGAGGCCACACCCTGCCTTACCTTCTATTGTCTACATCCCCACTCACTCAGGAATCTCAGTTGCTGTTCAGAACAGTGCCTAGTTTATGGCAGAGCAACCCAAGCTTGTTGAATGTGAACGAATGAATGAATGAATGAATACTACTGTTCAGCTGCCATCATTATTCTTCACATAAGAGGCTGCTTTACGGAAAACCATGAACAGGATCAACTGCATAAGAAACAAAACATGAAGTCAGGAACCCTTTCCTCTTTTGACTTCGAGAGCCTCTTTAAAAAATAGCTATGATGCCTTAATGCATACTCTTAGTGTCTCTTAAAACATACGGGAAAAAAAGCTTTATGAAACAATTTAATAAATCCTGGTGAAAGAAAAGATGACTTCTATCAATCTGATTTCAAGGGAGATATTAAAAATGATTTAATGTATCTCAACCCCCTGGTCCCCTACCTGCCTGGTCTAAGGCATTGTTTGCTTTAACAGATGTCTTGTCAAAGTTGCCTGAAACTAGGGGTTGGGATGGAGAAAGAGGAGGAGGTATTCGTTGAATGGGATCCAAGGCCCCATAGAGAGGAAAAAGCCTGTGGAGAGTTTGAGGGTGCCGGAGGGCCCAAGGGAGGTTAACTAGGGAGCTCCCCAAAAAAGGGAGGAAAAGAAAGGATCTATGAGAGACTCCTCATCTTCTAACAAGATAGCCTGTGATGCTGCAAGCTGTCCTGGCCAAGCCCAGCACTCAAAGTCACACTCACATCCTGCTTCCTAAAGCCCTTCCGGCAGGTGAGCGGCTGATGCTGTCACTCACCCACATGCCGCTTGCAAAACTTGGGTTCTTCCCTGCCCGTGGGGGTCTGTTCACAAAGCCCTAGGAAAAAAAAAACACCGCCACCAAAAAATGTTCCAGGCTTATATATATTTCCATGACTTATAAATGGCAAAAAACAGCTTCAAGAAAACATTTTCATTGGCTAAGCCTAAAAAGAGGTTGGTCAACGTGTACAGTTCCTTCTTTTGAGCTGTCTCCCTCATCGAAGGGAACACTGGCTGGCCAGCAGTCCACCTGCAACCATGGAGCCTAAACATTGCTTTCTAGGCTTCCTCATCGGGGCCTTCCTGACCAGTGGAGGAGGTAAGTGCTTCAACTCCTTTCCATTGCCCAGCTCTGCCTGAGTAGAATCATGAGGCTATTAGAAACACTTATGCTGTTTTTCTAGGCTTTGTAAAGATTCCATCTTATTTTGATTGCTAAACAGTGCCAACAAGGGGTCAGTTTCCTTCTGCAGCCTCAAGAACCATGCCAGTACCTAATGAGTGCCTGCCAGCTACACAGGTGCAGAGATCTTCACACAGGTTAACTCTACGCACATTTCCTTGTCTGTCTTCAGAACTGCTCTTACCTTGAAGGGGCGCTGTTGCATAATGGTTAGGTGAAACAGGGTCTAGATTTTACATCTGCCATCCACTAACATGTTCCTTAACACACTGTGCTTCTATTTCCTCCTCTGTGGGACGGTGAACGTGGGCCACTGTGAAAGTTCAGTGAGTTAATGTACACACCAAGTTTTTAGAGCAGTGCCTGGCACAGACTAGGGACCATAAACAACTCGGGAGAGCTCACTGTTGATGTTTACAGACCTCAGCATGTGTGCAGAACACCTTAGCACCACAGCACACCTTTCATTCAGGGTGCTGAACTCCCAAGGCAACAGACAGGCCCTCTCAATGTAAGTGGCTTAAACAAATGCCTGTGGCCATATACTTTTCCCATGACTATACATAAAACAACCCAAGCTACCATCTTCCAGCCATCTGAAAAGAGGAGTAGACTGTGTCTCTGGCCCTTGCTAACAGCAAGAACTCATTTAGAAGGAATTTAAATGCTACTAAAAAAATTATGGCGTACATCTTCTAGGTCCATAACCTCCATTGGAAAATAAAGTAGTAAGAATATTTACCTTATTTAGTGGGTGTAGGAACTGCATAAATGGAACATAGCCTGTTGTATGTTGAATGTCCACATCTGGTCAATGTTCTGTGCTCAAAGGAAGAAGAAGAGAAAGAATTTTCTCAACCTCTGATGTGCTGCTTCTTCTATAAGTTCCTCTCTCCTGAGACTTTGCTCTTGGTTTCCTTTGGTCAGTCAGAAAAATCCACTCTACCACTTGCTGTTGAGCAAGTCCCTTCACGTTTCTAAAACTTAGTCTTTAGTCTATAAAAGATTATAGTAATAATTCTCTCATGGAAGAGATGAGAAATTTGATGTGAATAGAGATAAAAGTCCCTTGGTTTCTGGTACAGAGTTGTTATTGTGGGTGGTAACAGTGAGATGGTTAGATAAAATAAGAGAAGAAGAGATGGGCACCATGGCTGGCAATCATAATCCCAGCAATTGGGGAGGCAGAGACAGGAGCATTGTGGTCTGAGGCTGGCCTGGACAAAAGCAGGAGGCTCTATCTTCAAAGCCAAAGCTAAAAGGTATAGAGCTTTGGGTTTTCTACAAAGTCAGTCCTCCTCTATTAAGGGGTAAAGTGCTTAAAAGTCCCAGGATTGCCAAAAAGAACAAGAAAGAGGAAAAAAGGAAGAGAGGACGGGAGGAAAAAAGGAAGAGAGGACGGAAGGAAAGAAAGATAAAAGGAAGTGAGGAAGGGAGGAAGGGAGGAAGGCAGGAAGTTTGTTGTGCATCAAAAGTTTTACATTAGTCCAAAAAAAGAAAATAAGAAAAAGAAAGAGACAATTTCTGAGCTCTTCCCAGAACGCAATTTCTGAGCCTTACAGCAACGGCTCCAGGGATCTTGATGTAGGACTTTCATTAAAAAGTACTGCCAATAACAATCCTGCTGATGATAACGCTCAATGTTTTGTTTCTCCTCTTCTTCTTTCAGAAGCTCAGCCAGCCCATGAATCTCTGAAGCCTCAGAGGGTTCAATTTCAGTCCCGAAATTTTCACAACGTTTTGCACTGGCAGCCAGGGAGGGCCTCTTCCAACAATGACAGTATTTATTTTGTGCAGTACAAAATGTAAGTAATATGAGCTTCCTCTGGCCAACAGAGAAGCCCTCAGGGATAACATGTCCTGGAATGCACTAGACTGTTGGGTCTGGGCTTTTTCCAAGGGAGTTCATTCAAGCTGGGAAGAAGCAATAGGGACAGAGGGACTTTCTTGTTTGAAGGCTTCCTGCTGGAAGACACGAGGTGCAATCTAGACAGGAGACATAGGAGACCTCGGGAACTCAGCCCTGAGACCTTTGCACAGCAGGTGCCCAGAACATGGTGGGCTCCCGTTATATACTTTCCAAATGAATTGTTTGGCACATAGTAGATTTCCAATTAGAGTGACACTGTTTATTGATTGAAATGGATTTGTGGCAAACATAAAAATGAATGTGTAAAGATACAGTTTTAATCTAAAAGTCAATGTTTTAGAGTGAGAATTACTTTCTAGAAAGTTCTTTTCAAATATGAACGACTCCTGTGAGCACAATCATGAAGTGGGACACGATGCTACATGCTCTTTTCACAGAATCGGCAAACTTAAGGGATCCTCGCCAAACTTCAGATACAATCTATTCCTTTCTTCAGTCAGGGCTTAGAAACAACTGACTGTTCTGATTTGAAAATAACAGACACTCCCATTCATCAACATCCCTTAAGGCTTTTTCATTTTCTTTTTAAATTTTTTGAGGCTCTCCTCCTGGCTGTTTGTTGTTGGCTGAACATGACACAAAAAGTATTACAGTTTTCTAAATGTCTTAGAATTTCAGAAAATAAGATACTGATGTGAGCCAAAATAACAAGTTTTATTCCATGAATGTATCCATGTCTCTCTAACCTGAAATAACTCCTCAATTAGAGTTTCCTATAATAATCTCAGAAGGAACATCCCCAGAAAGTTGGTCTTTAATGGCTCCTGCATTTCTCTGTATATTTGGTTTGCCAGTTATAAAACATACAAATCTTTATAATAAAAGATTCTTCATCGCACAAACTGATTTGTAAAGCTATGAGGATGCTTCCAGCATATAAGAAATAGAGACTGATTCTCACTGTAAACATTCCCTTAGGCAGTATACATGGGTCCAAACTAGACCTGTTGGTGACGACAATAAAAAGTGTATTAAGAACCCTTTTAGCACAAGCTAATGAAGATTAAACTTTAAAGAACCATGGAAGAATTTTGAATTTTGAGTTCTTCTTATATAAATTTCAGATCCTGAGTCCATTCCTCAACAGCACAATGCAGATTTGTGTGTGTGTGTGTGTGTGTGTGTGTGTGTGTGTGTGTGTGTGTGTGTGTGTGTGTGCATGTGTTAGTGTCCATTGTGGGGCTTGAACTCAGCCATGGGCACTGTCCCGGAGCTCTTTTGCTCAAAGCTAGCATTTTGAGCCACAGCTCCACTTCCAGTTTTTTACAGTTAATTGGAGATAAGAGTTTCACAGATTTTCCTGCCTGGACTGAGTTCAAACCAGGATCCTTAGATCTCAGCTTCCTGAGTAGCTAGGATTACAGGCATGAGCCACCAGCACCCAGCTACAATGCAATACAAAACAATAATTCTGAAAACTTCCATTTGGTTGTATCCAGTTCCTGTGATTCAATGTTAACATCCATACCTTTACAACAAATACAACAAAAATGAGGTCTCATCAAAAATGGGAACTCTGTCATTATAACTAGGATCAGCCTGCAATGCCAATATCTCAGCAAGAAACAACATTCAAGAATCATCCAACTGTGTTGTTGTTGGCTCTGTTTTAATCCTCAGGTCTTCAAATTGTCACTACACAGCCTGAAGAGTGTAGCCCAGCATTCCTCATGATATGGCTAGAAAGTGAGATTGCAGGGCCTGCCAGGAGAGCCTTTGCCCCAGCCTCTTCTTCCTGTGCTGCTCTCCGCCAGGATGTGACTGCATTTGTTTTGATCCGTGACTATGAGGAACTCAAGTCTGAATCTTCCCTTTGGCTGTGGCATTATCACCTGGCTTGAGGCTGAGTCTATCTGTCTCATCGTTTGCCTCTCGGCCTTCGTGCAGTGGTTTCTCACCCTCTCTCCCTGCCCCAGTCACAGGACGTCCTACAGCACTCTCACCACAACCTCTGATCAATTTTCAATAAAAAAGACAAGCCCTCTGTGCTCAGTAAACATCACTTGAGATGGCAAGTGATAGAAACTTCTCAGAAGCAACTTACTATTCAATAGTGAGCTAATGAGAAGTAAACTCTCAGAGTTGGAACCTCTGAAGCAGTAAGGATGTGGAAGATGAGTACTTAAACACAGATGTTGGTTTGTTTACCTGAAGAAGCTTAGTTGGCTAGGTACCAAAACAAATAAATAAATAAAACCCCTGAGGTTAATGATATAGATCTCAAGGTTCAATTTATCTTTTAGCAAGCTAACACTTTGGTTACTAAGAAGGAAAATTCCAAATCCTCTTCAGGGTAATCATACAGAGTACTGATATCAGAGAACAGGTTTCAATCTGAATCAGGCACCAGTGGCTTATGCCTATAATCCTAGCTACTCAGGAGGCCGAGATCTAAGGATGATGACTCAAGGCCAGTCCTGAACAGAAAGGCCCATGAGACTCTTATCTTTAGTTAACCACCAAAAAAGCCAAAACTGGAACCAAAAGTGGTTCAAGTGGTAGAGCACTAATTTGGGGCTGAAAAGCTGAGGGACAGCACCCAGGCTCAGAGTTCAAGTCCTAGGACCAAATAACAAAAAACAACAGTAATACTCTAAGCCAATATATGGTGACTCATACCTGTAATGCTAGCTACTCAGGTGGCTAAGAGCTCCTGGCTGGAAACCAGGTCAGTCAGAAAGTCCATGAGATTCTCATCTGCAATTAAGCAGCAAAAAGTCAGACGTGGAGCTGTGGATCAAGTGGTAGAGCATAAGGCCTTTTAAGATCAAGCCTCAGATCCAGCACACTGAAAAATATAACACCACTGTGAAAGAACTAGATTCCTTTATTCAGAAAAGAAACTCAGGTCTTTGTCTTTTGCCCTTCTTCAGGTATGGACAGAAAGAATGGAAGAACAAAGAGGAGTGTTGGGGGATACAAGAACTCTTTTGTGACCTCACTAATGAAACGTCGGATCTGCAGGAGCCTTATTACGGGAGGGTGATGATGGCCTCAGCTGGGAGCTACTCCGGATGGACCATCACACGCCGCTTCACTCCTTGGTGGGCAAGTGAGTGCTGGGAGGTGCTTTGCTTCTGGCCCCTGAACAGCCTAAGCAGCTGGGTCAGTTTCCAGGCACCATGCTGTACTGAGGACCACATGGTGCTATCACATGGCAGAATTCTCTGGGGGTAGCTTTTGATATCCTCATTTGACAGCCTAGAAAAATCAATTGTAGAGGTTTGGCCATTGCTCAGTTTCAAGGTTTGTTCTCCCTGAGTTGGTACTGAAATTATTTTCTGACTATAGAGCCTTTACTCTGAAATGTGACAGATTGTTACTTCTGAACAAGGTATTTTTCACAAGAGCAAGAGTCATATTGCCCTATCTTTCTCCAAAATATGAGATACTAAGTTCCTAAAAACTCACATTATAAGGATTTTCTATTGAGGAAATGAGGTCTTTTAGTGTCATCTTCAAAAGGAGACACCAAAATCTCTCATATCTACCTTTAATATCTTTTGTATTCTAGTTTAGTCATGTTCACAAAATAATATATTGTCATTAAGATCTAAGTTACAAAATTAAACATTACTAACAGACCTTGTATAAAAAATCAAGAGAAAAGAAGAGAAAAAAAGTACTGAGGCTTGAACTCAGGGCCTGAGCACTGTCTCTGAGCTTAATTTTTTCCCTCAAAACTAGCACTCTATCACATGAGCCACAACTCTACTTCTGACTACTTTGGTGCTTAATTGGAGATGAGAATGTAACAGATTTTCCTGCCCAGGCTAGCTTTGAACCTTGGTCCTCAGAGCTCAGCCTCCTAAGTAGCTAGGATTACAGGTATGAGATGCCAGACCCCCACTTCAACCATCACTTTTATTTTTCGTCCAGCTTCTCAGCTCTTTGTTTATTAGTACTTTCAGTCTTTCTGGTATTGGCTTGACATAATATTACGTTCATTTTACTTCTGAATATGGAAGTTCTCAGAGGCATTCTAGAGAATACTAAACAAAACATCCTTCTCTCTGACCCTACTATATTTATAACAGCTCTATTTCCCCATTAAATAATCAGAACTAATTATCTTTGACAACTTCATTTTCTCTTTGTTGGTTAAATGGCACAAGGAACTCTAAATGATTAGTGGCAGCCACCTAATAATTTCCTTTGAAATTATTTTAGTTATAAACCAGAAGAACTAAAAGTCAAGCAAATAGAAAAAAAAAAGATTGGTTTTTCACTATGTGTAATACCGAGACTTGACCTTCTCACCTCCAGTTTTGAATCCAGTGTATTCTATGAAACTATGCTGTTGACAGGCTCACAGCATATAATATTTCATATGCCACCTCACAAGACATGTCTATTTGAGTTTTCAATATCCTTTTCACCTTCTTCTAAAGACCAATTATTGGGTAATGGGATATATGGTAAGGTAAGATCATTTGGTGAGTGTGAGACTTTACTTCTTCCAGAATAATAGTTTCTTTGTCATAAGCAATGTACTGTGGGGGTATGCTCATGGATAATGTATTCGCTGCATCTATGGGTGGGTTGTAAATGGGGAGGAATCTACTGATAAAATAGTAAAACAGCAAAGTTCACCTAGTAAGATAGAAGTTTTCATTCTAATGTTTTACCCCTTCCTGATTTGAGGGGAACTCAATACAAAACAAAAGCTTATGGCCAGATAGCACGCAAGTGCCTCTGGAGCAGGGCATTATATAAGGGGCTCAATACCAGTTTTCTTTCCACGAAATCCATGCTGATGGGGTTATATCCCAAAGAATGGAAAATATAAGTTGTAAAAGCATGCATTACACCTGGTCTACAGCTTAGCAGCACTACACATTGTTCTCTTCAGTTAACCACCAAAAAACCAGAAGGGAAGCTATGGTTCAAGTGGTAGAGTGGTAGCTTTGAGCAAAAGAATTAAGGCTAGTGCCAGGACCTGAGTTCAATACCCATTACTAGCATAAGAAAAGAAAAGCCTTCTTATGCCAGGGTTTCACAGGTAAATGAGTAAGAAATCCGTCAATAAAACAGTTAAAAGCTAGAACTACTCTTTCCCAAGCAATTGTGAGGAGCCATGCCCAGTCAACCTTCTCCTCAAACTTCAGCTTGTCCTTGTCCCCCCACAGCCTCTGAGGCTCTGTAAAAAACCTGTTTTGAAAAAATCAGATTTGAGAACAAGCTGTTGCAAAAGCCTAAGGTGCAGACGAACGAGCCACTGGTATGCATTGCTCAGCCAGCATCTCTTGTGAGTAGCAGGGCGTAGTCCTTCATTTAGAAGTTCTGCTTTCTGGAGTCTATCTAGAGACAACATTTTTTTTAAACAGAAAAAGGAAAGTTAAAGTAGTATTTGATGCTCAGTAAGATTTCAACATTATCTGATGCCAGAATTTCTTGGACTAAAAATAAATGTGACCTGTTTTGGAATAGATCTGATATTCTGGTGTGATCGGCTACAGTCAGAATCATCTTTTCTCTTTATTCATTTGGGAATTAGTTATGAAGTACTTACTTTGATCCAGGCATTTAACTGGATCCTGAGGCAGCTTGGCAAGCACAATAGCCTCCTTCTTTCTAGAACATTCTGTTTAATAGGAAAGACAGATATATTTAAAATAATCATGCATCCTAAATGATAGTATGTCTAGTGATACAAAAGAAAGAAGACTCATGCTTCTGTGAATTCCTAAACAGAGGGATGTGGCCAGAGATGTCAGGAGAAAACTTCCCAAGAAAGGGACACTTGAGTTGATATCTGAAGATGAATAAGGTTCACAGAGGACAGAGGAGAGCATTTGTAAAGGCGCTCTGGCAGGAGGAGGCAGAGCAAATGTGAGAGAAGTAGGGCATGTATAATGGAGTAGATATGGTGGGACTCAAAAAGCAAGCCTGGTATCAGATTCTCCATTAGGGGTTGTGACTTCCTCTAGAAAACAAAAATGTATTTGTAAACAACGCCTTTATCGATACTCAGAGTTAAACCCACCTTGTACATCCTAAGCAAACACTCTGAGCAAAGTATAATTTTAAATGGGATAACTAGAAGAACTATAGAAAATAAGTATACCATTAGAGGGACATTTAGCAGAAAAAAATTGGCAGGATTTGGTGACAGTTTGAATATACTGGTAAGGAAGGAAAAATTCCAAAGGCAATCTTTTTTGCCTAACTAGATTGTGGTTGTTTGTGATGGGGTTTTATGGGAAAAGGCTAGTCTGGTGGAATGCACAATAATCAAGAAGAATGAATTCAATTTTGGAGGCATTGAGTTTAAGATGCTTTGAAGTATCCAAGGGTAATGTCTATAGAGAGTTAAAAGACTTAAAGGTAAGGTCTCTGTTAAAGACACAAATCTATCTGTGACTCATTTGCACAACCTGCTCTAGATTATAGTGTCTAGGAAGAGAGCATTGAATGAGAAAAACTGTTTTGTAAGACAAGCTAGTAAGGGAACTTCACCAAAAGATGCTTGAGATGGGTAATTTTGTGAAGGAACAGGGATGTGTAGGGAATAATTAAGAAGTTAGAAGAAATCAGTAGATTGATGTATTTATGGGAAGAGAATGTTTAAAAGAGAGGTTGGAGATGTAGCTCAGTGGCAGAGTACCCACCTTCATACAGAAGACTGAGTTCAATCAAGAGTCCTGTTTGGGGATTTTTTTTTCCAGCATTGAAGAAAAAATCAGTGAGTAAAGTAATTTATTTGGCCTTGGAACATAATTAGAATCCAGTGAATGATGAAGAATGACCATCCTGTTGCAAACTCCAACATCACAGATCACAGACCAAGAGGCCTGAAGATGTCAACTACTCAACTCACTGACACTTCTAGGCCAATGACTGAAATATACACTTTTTCACAAAAGGGCAATAGCTCTGTTATTTAACTATACCATCGGCCTGTTGAAACCCATGAACATGGATTGATACATTCAAAGAACAAGATAACTATGATCATGAGTATAAAATTTTTTGTCATTAATCATAGCTTGGACCATATGGAAAAATAGTTCTCAGCATAAATATGAATATTTTAATCAGAAAAAATGCACAAGAATGTATAATTGCGCCAAATGAAGGAAGTAGAAACACAGTCACATACAAGAAAATCTGGTTTAGGGGAAGTCAATGTTGATCCTTCTATTTTTCATTGCTGGAGATAATCTCCAGCACTGAAAAATAGAAGGATCAAGGGTGGAGTGTTGAGTACATGATAAGAATGTTCAAAGTATGCTTTTTTATCAAAGAGGGAATCAATGGCACATCATACTACTATGCAAAACTGAGCTAGGACTCATTCTCCTTGTTTATAGCTGGTAGACAAGAGGGTCATAAGAATTTGGAGCATGAAAAGCACCATAAGGATTAAATACCAGCTCCTTTAGAGGTGAAAAGTGTAAACAAAGGGAAATTCTTTCTTCTATGAACATGGACAAAACACTGATAGAGCTGAACTTTCAGTTCCAAATTAGTCTGGATGGGAGTGTGGAAAGCCTTTCTCTTCTAAACACTTAAGACAAACAGGATAAACACAGTAAAGCCCAGTTATCCTGAGGACATTTGCCTAACTTGCTTTGATTTCTGAATATAATCATTGGTCATGGTAATATTGTGTCCATGTTAACTATCTCAATGTTTTTCGAGTCATTCATTAACAATTTTTATTGTTTCCCCAGCAAATATAGGCCCTCCAGTGGTGAATGTAACCCAACATAACAGATCTTTGTTGATAATTCTGCATGCCCCCGATTTGCCATATAGACACCAAAAAGGAACAAATGTAACTGTGGAAAATTACTATGACTTAGTATACAGAGTTTTTTTAATCAACAATTCACTACAAAAAGTAAGTTCAGAGGAATAGAGATTAGTACTATTGCCTGTAATTGACTTGGTGTTTTTCACGCTTTGGGGGGCAGGGGGTTGTTCGTTTGCTTGTTTGTTGAGTCAGCGTCTTACTATGTAGGTCAGGCTGGCTTTGAACTCCAGAAATACCTCAGCCCCCCTGAATGTTGGTACTATAGACTTTGTTTTGTCTTAAGCCAACATATTGACCATGTTATGCATCTTCTCTTTTGCTACTCTTCCGCCTCTTCCTTTCCATTTTCCTTCTTTTTCTCTTTTGACATCAGTGGTAAACAGTTTATCACCATTAGAATTTATATGTGAATGTATTATATATGTGTGAATGTGTGTATGTGTTGTGAGTATCCATATTTGCCCTTTCAATCACTCAGCTTGTCTACACACTCTCTTTTTCTTTAAATTTAATTTTATTACACTCTCTTTCCTGCATATTGAAGGATAGGCAGTTACAAATTTCAACATTTTAATTTAGTAACTGTTGAATCAGTATATTCTATTTATTTATTTTTGGTCCGGTCGTGGGGCTTGAACTCTGGGCCGGGGCACTGTCCTTCAGCTCTTCAGCTCAAGGCTAGCGCTCTACCACTTGAGCCACAGCACCACTTCCGGCTTTTTTCTTTTTGCTTATGTGGTGCTGAGGAATCGAAGCCAGGGCCTCGAGCATGCAAGGCAAGCGCTCTACCACTGAGCCACCTTCCCAGCCCTGAATCAGTATATTCTATATAACAATTTTGCTAAGGCAATTTACTATTTATTGACCATCAGTGCCTTTCTCTGAGCTTAGTGAATTGAATGTTCCTTTCATATATCCATTTGAGATAGGATCCCTTTGGTTAGAAGGAACACAACCTGCACTGAAATGAATTCAAATTCAAAAGAAATGAAAGAGAAGTTTTATTTGGAGATATCCAGCAAACTCAGGGGCAACCAGAAACAAGAAACCAAGTGCTGCCAGGCTTTGTACAAAAGCGAAAGGAAATGGGAAGGGAGTGCTACAGGATCCTGCTCTATCGCTGACTTTCTGTCTCTGCTGTCATCTATAGTTATCTCTGAGAGTCAGCGCCTTTCTCCTTACTGTACAATTGAAATCCCTGAAAAAGAGACTCTGATCAATAGGGTCAGTCAATCAGCAGCCCTCAGTAGTTCTTACTTGGCCACTTGACATGTCCCATTCCAGATTACATCCCAAGTCTCTAGAAAAAGGGATGTGTCTAGGAAGGAATCCTGACACCCAGCTACTACCATAACCTTGTAAAACTCAATGATTTTCACAACACCAAAATATATCAGTGACTCACTGGAAATCATTTATCACTCACTTTTTCTCCCTTAGATGCAGGAGCAAAACATCTACGAAGGAGCTGGAAGAGTTGTTGCAATTGGGGCTCTCACACCTCACTCTGGCTACTGCGTAGTGGCGGAAATCTATCAGCCCATGTTAGGCAGAAGCAGCCCGAGAAGTGATGAGCAGTGTGTGAAAATTCCCTGATGGGTTTGGAGATTTCTGCCACATGCAAGTCGAAGCACGTCACAAATCTAATGATCCTGCTTATAGAATCTCACCGAAAATTGTTTCCATTTTCTTAAAACCATGTTCACTAAGACTGTCAGGGACCTCTTTGTATATTCAGTCTTTCTGTATATTTCACTTGCAAACTAAATTTGAACAACACTGCTCATTAATTAGAACTGAAAGCCGAGGCAAAGAATAAAAGTGCTCTATGAAATGCAGAACTGCATTTCTGAATGTGACATCTCTAACAATATTTACTGTGATAAAATGGGAAAATATAGAGGAAGAATCTATGATGAATGGATTTTAATAAAAATGCCAAGGTTCTTTTTATAAAGTAGCATTACAATCTGAGAGATTATTGTCTCTGCTTTGGAATTTTAGCTTCTTTTCTTCTTTTATTTGTGAATTGAATTGAATTTTTTTTGGGGGGTCCGGTCGTGGGGCCTGAACTCTGGGCCTGGGCGCTGTCCCTCAGCTCTTCAGCTCAAGGCTAGCACTCTACCACTTGAGCCACAGCTTTATTTTTCTTATGTGGTGCTGAGGAATCGAACCCAGGGCCTCGAGCATGCAAGGCAAGCGCTCTACCACTGAGCCACCTTCCCAGCCCCTCTTCTTTTATTTGTGATCTTTTTGATTTTTGTTCTTTGCAGGGCGGATGATAAGCAAAGAGCATGGGGAGGGCAGTGAAATCCATGGGATGGGTGAGGAATAGGGACTGTATGTGCCAACAGCATTTAAGTGTATGAAATAGGGCAGTTCTAAAGCCCGATGATAAAAGAAATGGTTACAGTTGCCTCATGAAAGTTATTAGGTAGCATCAGTTTGGGCTTTTAGTTTGTTAGCTTTGGTTTTGTCTTCATGCTTGAGCACTTTGGTATGCATAGCAAATATAAAATGTCTCATAGGAAACGATGTTTGTCACATTCTTCATCATGCTAAGAACACCCTGTCATTTATCTCAATAAATCTTGCCATGTTTTGCTTTATATTCTGAAATATTTGTTATCTCCACTCTTTAAAAAAGACACAGGGATTAAGTCTGTCAGATGAAATACTACCTAGACATTTTAAGCCCATCCTTAGCTCCAGCCAAGGAGTGGAAGGGCTCCAGGCATTCACTGAGCATGCACTGTGATCACATGGGAATCCACTCTTATAGTTGTCAGGCTAAAAGCCATAGAGCCATCATTGTCCCCTCTCACTCTATATTCAGTGCATCAAGAAGTTGTGTTGGATCACTTCAAAATAGGATACTTTTTGCAACCACTCTATTTCAGGCCACCATCTTGTCGCCTCTAGATAATGATGGCTACCACCTCACTCTGCTTGCCTTGCTCTGGTCTCAGCAGAGTGCCCAGGCCAAGCCTTTGAACATAAATCTTAGAATTCCAATGGTTGTCCTGTATGGATGCAACCAAAGTCATTATGGTCTTCCTAGCTCTGCACAGTTCATTTCCTGTTTTCACTGTTGCTCAGATGTCATGTCATGTCATGCTCACTCCACACTAGCACATTAACCCCATTGCTTGTTTTTAAATGCAAATTCATGACATTTAGTCCTTTGTACTGATTTCCAGAGTTTTTCAGATAAGGTCTCAGAATGACCTTAGACTATGATCCTCCTACTTCTGCCTCCCAAATGTCTGGGACCAGAGACCTGTGCTTCTTGCACACCTTGTTTTTCAAATAGGGTCTGACTAACATTTTCCTGGGCTGTCCTTGAACTGTGATTCTGTTTATCTCTACTTCTTCAGTACCTCGGATTGTAAGTGTAAAGCACCACGCCAATATTCAGTCACCTGTAAGTTACTTATTGAAGTTGCTTTTAAGGCTAATACCAGTCATTTCTATGAAACTAACTTCAAGCAAAAAGGAGAAACCTGTTTTCTAAATAAAGCTCCAATTTTTCAAGTAAGGAGGAAAAATACCCACGAAATGTAATAACATCAAGACTGACCTCCAATGAAATCTTGACAAGCCTTTCAAAACTATAATCTTTGATTCTTATGTCAAACTGCTTTGTTTCCTTAACTTTTATGTCATATACCCAAAGGAATAGGTGAACTTTGAGAACAGAATCATTTGGCAGGTTTTCTTAGATCCTTTGAGATCGTGTACCCTGGAAAGGAAAGTAGGATTGTTTTTGGTGTGTTAAACAAAGACAGAACTCTTGGCCCATTGCTGATTGATTGTAACTTAGAGCAAATCACAGAATTAAACTCTACAGAATAGGGTGGCCCAAAGAGAGACATCTGGCCCACAATGTGCCAAAGACATCATTCAGCTGAGACTATAATCTCTTTGCACTTAAACTGTATCTTTTCAATGCACAACTGGCCTGATGTGGCAGGGGCTGGCCCAAATGGCATTCCGGTCCTTCCAGCAGGAGGCTTGCACCCATCTTCTTTAGATCCCCTGTTAGATACAGACAGCAACAAGCAATCCTTGCCAGACACTCTCACAAATGAATAAGCTAGGTCTGTCAGATATTTGCATTTGGAGCTTTTGTCTGTTAAAGGTTGTTCTAGAACAAAATACTTTTCCCTGACCCATGTTTACTTGCAGCCAAGGTACAACTGGAAATTTATATTGAAGGCAGGAAAGACTTTCACCTTGTTGTTTTAATCCTACCATGGCCAAGCTTGGTTCTAGAGTCGAGTATGTGTCATCTTTGTAGATGTCCACCCTCTTTTTACATGTATTCTTCATTTTGTTTACTAACCCCAAGACTTCTTATGACAGCTACAGGGCCTGACTATCCTTTCCCTGTCTCTGATTATATCCTTATGAAATAGGTCTTCCCACTTAACCACATGCATTCATAGGGCTATCAATAGTGGGCAGTCAGGTAGGTTAATCAGAGTTCTTCTCTAATACTGATTCGGGAAAGAGGAATAAAGCCTGCTGATTTCTCTGGAACCATGTACTGCAAGCGTTGACTGTGCCTGGAGCTGCCAAGCTCCACTAACAAGTGGAGAACAAAGTACCCAAGAGGAACAGTAGAGACAGATCCCTGTTGATAGCCAAGTAAATCCTGCTGTGCAGAAAACCAACCTAACATCTGAACTTTCACTGCAAGTGCACAAACCAAGTAGGTTCTCCATCTACTTTACTTTCACTTGACATTGTATCACTTTCTATAAAAACATCCTTGACTAAAAGAGCAAAAGTATGAGTAGGTGTCATTGGTGGTGTACATTTTTTACCAAAAATTAAATGATTTTCATGTCCAGACAGACATGGAAATGTTCTACCATTGAGAACATTGCTGAAAAGTGTTTCTTTCTGCAAATGACACAGATAATGCAGCTTGAATACCAGAAGGCCATATAAAAAAGGTATATGGTTATTCTACTCAGTACATCAATGGAGGGAGTATCAGTCAAATTCTGATGTTTCCTACAGATTCTCATCTTGGTTGTATTATTTAGTATAATTTTCATCTTTCTTTGCACTGAAAACAGGTGGAATTATAAAGAGAACATTTTTATAACAGCAACTCAAGGTCCATTTGATATCCTTCAGAGGTCATATGGCTCTATGAGTATATAGCCAAAAGGTCAAGATCTCTTCTATACTCTATTAATACAAGCCTAAAGTTAAAGGAAGTCTTTGTAGCCAGATGCTAGTGGCTCAAGACTAATTTTAGCTACTCAAGGCTGAGATCTGAGAATTGTGGTTTGAAACCAGCCTAGACAGGAAAGTCTGTGAGACTCTTATCTCCAATAAAACTCCAAAAAACAGGAAGTGGATCTGTGCCTCAAAGTGGTAGAGTCCAAGCCTTGAGCAAAACTGCTTAAGGAGAATTCTCAGGCCCAGGTTCAAGGACTGGTGCACGCACATGCACACACACACACACACACACACACACACACACAGAGTCTCTGATCTTTCTGAGATAGTCTCCTTACATAGCACAGGCTGGCATCAAGCTCCTGATCTTCCTGCCTCAGCCTCCCAGGTGCTGAGATTATGGGCATGTGCTAATGGACTTGTCTTTAAAATTCATTTCATTACATGGTTTTGCTCTCATGCTGAATCTAGAGTAAAATGCTAAAAATAACAACAGTAACAGACTGCACTGTAAACACAAGAAGCATGAGAAAGGAAGGAAATAAAATCCCTCCAAACCCAACAATTACACAACAAATGATCGATCAGAATGTTAGAGAACTGGAGGAAACCTCATTTCCTGAGGCCAAAGGAACGATGAGAGCCTTCAATGAAATGGAAGAGGGCTTTTGGTAAGAAGAAGACATTTATAAATAAGTCAATGAAATCATAGAGAAATGAATTCATAAGTATTAAAATAAAAAGCTAAATGAATACTAAGAAAATGCAAACAATTAAAGAGGATATAGCTAAACAGCTAAAAGAGATCAAAGAAGACACATATAAACAAATGAAAAACCCAATCAATGCAAGACATACATCGTGAGTTGAATAAAGACAGAATTCTTGGGAGGAAAACGTCACACTGAAGTCCTAAAGATGAAGAACATAACTCTGCGTAGCAGAGTTGATACAAGGAAAGTCAAATATCAGGGCTGGAAGGCATAGAACACAGAGTAGAAAAAGCAGAGGAAAACACACGCACACACACACACACACACACACACACACACACACAATACTAAAGGAATTTGTAAGAACTTCAGAATTCTATTGAAAAGACCAAAACATATAAATGATGAGTAGAGATGAAGGTGGGTGATAATAAAAGGCATAGGAAATCTATCCAACAGCAATAGCAATAAAACGCTTCCCAAATCTTGGAAAACAGAAGTCTATTCAGGTACAGGAGGCTTTTAGAACACTCAACAGACCATATCAGATATTACCTCCACATGACATATTATAGTAAAAAAAAACAAACAACTAAGTACAGAGACAAGAAAGAAGGATGAAAGTCACAACAGAGAGAAAGCAATGGGAAACCTATCAAAACAGCATCCCCAGAATACTTACCTTAAGTAAAGCTCTGTCATTCATAACTAAAGGACAAACAAAAACAATCATGACAAGCAAAAACAAAACAAAAAATTATACCATTAAACCAGTACTATGGAAGTATTCAAAGTAATCCAGCACACAGAAGATCAATGTATACATGAAATAGTAGAGAGAAAAAAATCACACCAGATAATATTAGCTTAAAGTGTTGAAAAAAGATCTTCCAATCAGATGGACCTTGAAAGAAGGCAGGAATAGTTATATTCATATCCGATAAAATAGACCTCAAACAAGCATAAAAGGTCAGATAAGTTGATGTTAGGTGATATGAACCCCAAGATAAGTATTCAAATGTTTTTTCTTTCATGTGATTGTTTCTAACAT